GGGGGGGGGGGGGTGGTCACTGCCACCTAATTTACTATCATATCTGCCATGACAGCACAGTGCCTGACACACATGACCAACACACGATTGTTAACTTTTGAAAAGGTTTATCTAAATTAAAAAATCAAAACAAGACAAACTTTCATCCCTTTTTAGTGGCATGGCACGGCTGTGTGTCCAAAGGGGCCACGTGATCACTCCCCCAAATCAGGAATGCTGTGCCCAAGTGCGAGGTTGCAAGGTCACTGCACAAAAGAATATTCTAATATAGGATTTGTGTAAGAAATACAATAAAATATGAATGGCAAAAGTGAGTAACTAGATAATAATTAGTAAAATACATTACTCAAAGTTAATTCTTAGTGTTTTCTTTAGGAAGTTGCTATAAAATCATTACCTGCTTTCATCACTGAAACCATTTTTAATTTTTATAAAGTGAAGTTTAGAAAAATTTATTGAGTGGAAATTGTAAAATTAAATCTATGTGCTTGACTTAAATGCCAATTAAGGAATCTCGGTCACACAGATCTGTGACAATATCACTCAGTTATTAAGAAGGTGAGCAGTATAAAACTATCTGAGGGTCAATTCTGAAGCCATCACTTATGGTGTGAACTGAACAATTAATTTTTGCAGTGCTCTTTTATAATCTGTAAAGTGGAGATAATAATGCCCAATTCAGAAGTTTGTTGTTAAATAATATAATTGCGAAATGTCTGGAGCACAGTAATTACTCAGTAAACGTTAGCTGTTACTACCAGGACAACTGCTACAACTATGGTGTAATATCCTTTGTTTGTGGTGCGCTGCCACCACCTGGTGGCACCATTACTAAGTAGCAGGTTGAAAATAAGGGTATATCCTTAATACAGAAAATGTAAAATAAAAGATTTGGCATAATGATAAGGAATATCTATCAACTATATGAAAAGTCAAAAATGCGGGAATAATCAATGAGAAAGAATTTGATATAAATTATTGATTTATAAGACATAGTTTCCCTAAGTATACAGTATTTGGCAACTCAGGTAAAGCTGTGTTCTACAAGTGGCCTATATTAAAGGTGCCTGTCTGAAGCACGGCTTCAACAATTTGGTGTCTGTAGAGTTCTAAAGTAACATTAACTTGGGAATCAAGACCATCATATTGTATGAGAAGTGCTATAGGAATTTCTGAAATAATGGTATATAGCCATAAGTTATGAAAATGTCAGAGAGTTTTTATTCTAACTCATTTCTCAAAATTACTTATGTGACTTCTGAGAGTCTAAGATCTGCTCCTAAGAGAGGATATTTATAGAACTGATAGGTCAAATTTTTGTCAGCCCTACAAAAATGTATATAGAGCAGATAAAACATAAAGTGCTAATTCAGTGACACATTGTGGGTCATCTCTCAGTCAGATGCACCACTTAGGGTCCTTGAAGCTTTCTAACTTCTCACAACTTTTTAACAACTCAGAATGTCATGTATAGAATTATCAATCTTTAAGTAAAGAAAGGAATATAAATAGCATTCACAATCATGCATAAATGTACTACTCAGAAAATGCTTTCACTTATTTTTGAATTCAGATTGACAGTTGTAACTTCAGTGATGAAGGGAAAATATATATTTTTCATGTCATTTTTTGTTTATATACAGATATATACAATACTCTAAAATGTTACTATATATTATTAATTTCTAGAGAAAAGAAGTACTGTGTGTATAATTTAAGAAAATTAATTATTTGTAATTTATAATATTTAACACCTAAATTTTCATAACTAGGGAATGGTTTAATGTAGTATGATATATACATACATGTATGAATATAAATATTCTGTTGCTTTTTCTTTCATGAGGATTGGAGTCATGTACCAGCCCTGATATTGTTGCTTTTAAAGAGTTGTTTTGTATGTAAAAAATGACACAGCTGTGGATTAGGGAGACATCTCTACTTATTTGTAATGTCAACACATCAGTTACCTTATAACTACTACTCAATTCCATATTGGTCAACTGGTACAAGTTTAAGCAACGTCTATAACAAGAGTCTAGAAAAAATATTTGATATTTTTCCTTAAAAGTTGGTTAATAATCAACTATTAAAGTTTAATAAAGTTGGTAAGACCTGTCTCATTTGGTGAGTTTGTATATTTTATCTAACTTTTTGATAACTTTTCATAGTTTCTTATATCAGCCTATTATCGTTGCACTTCTTAAAATTAAGATGTATTAAAAATGAAATGAAAAGGAATGTTATTCTTTTATTTTTACCTTGTAGATGCTGAGTTGCCACCGTTGAAACTTGTACATTCATTTTGTGCATTGAAAGCAGATGATGGCCCATGCAAAGCAATGATAAAGAGATTTTTTTTCAATATTCACACTCAGCAATGTGAAGAATTTATATATGGGGGATGTGAAGGAAATCAGAATCGATTTGAAAGTCTGGAAGAGTGCAAAGAAAAATGTACAAGAGGTAGGTTTCTGGAGACACTTATTACCCAGAAAACTTTAGAGTTGATCTAATCACAGATTTGATAATTTTAGAAAAAACGTTAAAACTATTTTAACATTCCAAGGAATCTTTTTCACTTTTTTAGCTTTAATGTTCAACTACTGTTTTTCATTTTTTTGTATCAGTCATTATAAAATACAGTAAGCTTATTGTCCTATACTCTTCCCCATAATAAAGAGGGAAGAAAACCCTTAAGTTTGCAGAACAGATTTTATATCTGCAGCAAATTAAGTGTAATTCAGCCTCCTTGGGTAGCTATGAGTTCACAGGAAATAAATTGTTATTCACAGTGACTTAGACTTTCCTTTACCAATACAATGATCTCATAGTTGTTTCCCTGTCAAGATAATGAATTAATCCAATTTGAGGTTCTCAACAGCTACTAATTAGAAAATTATAGAAATATATATATGAAAGTAAAATCCTTCTCTTTGGAGCCTTGGAATAATGTAGAAAATATCATCCCTGATGACCTATGAAGACCTTACTGAACCCAACTTTTCGTAGTTTTACTAAGTTATAAGGTTTAAAAGCATATCACATTCTACTATTAAACTTTACTGAACACTTTTATTCTTTTAATCATGTTAAAACAACTTTTTTTTTTTTTTTCAAATTCTACAAATTACAGTGTTTCATGTGGTTTTCTCTCTTTAGACTGAGATAAATTCCAAACAGTTACTGGTCAAAATTTTGAATGTTTTTATCTCAGTTTTATTCTTCTGAATTGAGAGCTACTTGAGAGAGAGAAAATCCTGAGTTGTCTTTATTTCTGCAGTTTCTAGTCCCAAATTTCCCCACTGCATGTTCTTAGAGACAGTTGAATTAAACTGTAGGGCCATAGCGATGGTATCTTTAGTTAACACTGGTGTCTTGTTTTTTTGCAAAGCAGGCATGTCTGCATTTTCACTTTGATAATGCTTTCCTAAACAGCTTTTACAAAACAGCCTTGGCATCATGATGCTCTTGGCCTATGGGAAAAATCTCAGTGTGGTAAAAACAGAGAGCCTTTCTCCTCTATGACTGTTGTATGCTCCAGAGCTGGCAGAAAAGAACTGATGTGAATGAATTTCTTTATCTCAGAGCACTTATTTCCCTCTTTCCTCTCCATAGATGTGCTAGAAATGTTACTAACACAGATTAGGCAGTTCAGTGGTTCTCTGTAGTACCTTTGGTTTTTGTGATTGCCTGGTCATTTTCCATTCATCACAGATTTCTATACCCTGTTCTATTCCATACTGGGCCAAGTATCCTTTTGTACTGAGTATCACTCATGTTCAGCACCTTGGCTAGAGGCCTGGTTGCCTCATTCTTTGTAATCCTCACTTTTTCATGTAGCAGCCTACTTAATTTCATCAACTGGCCTCTTTCCTGAAATACATACCTATTTAGTTTTTATAATTTACAAATCTTTTATTTCACCATTGTGAAAAGTTACCCTTTTCTTTAGAAATTAATCAAATATGATTTTGTTCTTCAGTGAATGTCCTGCTATAATGTTTTCTCAAACATCATTACTGCCTACCATAACTATATGTCTTTTGCCCCCATCTCCTCATTACCTCTTCTCAAAAGTCATTGATATTACTGTTTGAATATCTGAGTGTTTTATATAGTAAGCTACTGTTAAGGATATAGCTGACATAGAAGAATTACTAAGCTTTTAAAAAATCACCTAAGGAGAAAATTCCATCTTCAGCTGTGATGGAGTAACTGGAGCTGAACTTTCTCTCCTAATGTAAATAACTAGAAAACTGGGCAAAATATATGAATCAGCTGTTTACAGACATTGATCAAAAGGCAGTGCAGGATTGTGATCTCTGAGAGATGGGAAACACATGAGGTGAACCCTCCGGTCTCCCCAGCAATCTGCATAAAGGCACTTCAGACCACAGTTAAAGGAGGGAAATACCAGCACAGCATGGTGGTCTCCATGGTGGAGGATGTGGAGATTGGAGACTGGTAGACTGATATGGCTGGGTTTTGAGGGACAATATGTGAGAGAGAATGGACATATGTAGAGAAAAAGCTAAAAAATCTGGATAAGGCTCCCTTTGAGTTTGTTACTGAATAATAAAACTGCATGCACTTGGTGAAATTCCATGAGTTTGAGAAAGTAATTACAGGGATTTGTAAGTGGAACAATTCCCAGAGCTCCCACATGACTAGGAGAAATTTTACATTTAATTTAGTACTAGGACTAAATTAGACCTAGAGTTAAAGCTACTTTAATCTTGCCATAGTGAAGCTTAAACCAAGCCTTAAAAGTTCCAGATGATCCACAAGTAACTTAACTACTTGCCAGAAGGCACTTCTTTAATGGAAGATGGTAAAACATTCTTTAATGGAAGACAATAAAATCCATCAGCCAACAGCATAACATTCAAAAATATCTATAATACCCCCTGCCCAGAATACTAAACGTTTGAAGAAGCAAACTGTGATCCATAATTAGGAAAAAAATGCTCAATCCAAACAGAGAAATGACAGAGGTGACGAAATTAGTAGACAAGGACTTTAAAATAGCTATTATAAATATGGTAAAGGATTTAAAGAAAACATGAACGTAATAAGGAGAAAATGGAATATATAAAAGAGAACTAAATGGAAATTCTAAACCTGAAAAATTCAGTATATAAAATAAGAAATTTTCCAGATGTACTTAAAGCAGATTAGACATTACAGAAGAAAAGGTCAGTAAACTTAAAGACAGAGCAATAGTAACTGTTCAAGATGAAGGACAGTGAGGATAAAAAAAAAGGCTAAACAAGCAAACAAAAAAGAATATAGCCCAATAACCCATGACAGGAAATCAAGAAGTCTATCAAAATGTGTAATTGGAGTCCTGGCGGTTGGGGCAGGAGATATGTGAACAAAAAAATGGCAAAGAATTATCCACATTTGATGAAAACTGTAACTTGTAGAACACTGATAAAATAATTTAAAAAAAGAATAAAGAAAAAAGTCTACACAAATGAATATAATAATCAAATTGCTGAAAATTGTGGATAAAAAGTAAATAATAAAAAAACGAGGAAAATGATACATGAGGGAATGAAGATCGAAAGAATCCCCAAGTTCCCATCAAGAAACAATTCACAAGAGAAGAAAATGGAACATCTTCTTTGAAGAGCTAAAGAAAAAAATAAACTGCCAATTAGTAATCTAGATCTATTAAAAATACCCTTATAATGGAGATAAACACTTTTTCAGATTAACAATGTCTGAGAAAATTTATTGCTAGCAGACTTGCACTGTGAGTAATAGTAAAAGATTTAAAACTAAAGCACACAGGAAAGGAGGGGGAACATATGAGATTACTGTTGTAAGGTTCTGATACTACAGATGAAAGTGGTATTAATTACTTGAAGCCAAATTGTCATGAATTAAAGATGCATATTAAAATTACATTAAATTTTAATGGTATAATCACTCCAATTAAAAGGTATATAGTAGACAATATAAAAAAATTATGAACTAAGTACGTGTTGTCTGCAGGAAAGACATTTAAAAAATACAGACACAGAGAGGTTAAAAGTGAAAAGATGAAAAAAGATATACCATGCAAGCACAGATCAGAAGTATGATTAGTAAAAGTAGACTATAGGACAAGGAATATTGGCAGGAGAAAGGGAAGATACATTATAGGAATGAGAGCCAATTAATCAAAAAACCATAATAATCCTCAATGTCTATGTGTATGCCTCAATTACAGAACTGGAAAATTTTCAGAGAAAAAACTGACAGAAGTGAAAGGAGAAATATGTATATCTTATATATTAAGACTTGGAAGCTGAATTTTTGTTTTATTTTGGAGACCTTCGAGAACTATGGCTTGTAAATTACCATGCCTGAGAATAAAGTCAAGCCAAATATTTCAGAGAATAGGAACTAAGGATGTGTTTAGTTTGATATGTATGCTCAGCTGTCCTTTTGCATGTAAAGCTGTTTTATCAGTTGTTTCCAAATATATATAATCTTGCATGATGTATTTACCTATGTAATAATAGAGACATGGTAATAAAGTTAATAAGGTAGAAAAAATTAAAATATAGTTTGTAAAATGGTTTCTAAACACATGGCTTTCAAAATGTTTGTCTTTTGGTTTAGTTGCTTTTTTCCCATAGCCTGTACAAGAACAACATTGTATTTGATTATTATTTTTTGAAAAATAGGTGTATGTAGTGTGGGAATTAAAGAATTAGATGAAAGAGATCAAATTCCCACTTAGCTTTTTAGCTAGTCAGCCTCTACAGCAACTTTTAAAGGTTCCAATAGGTATGCTGTTTATATTAATTACTATTTTATTAGTTGAGCTAACTGTGACTTGTGGCTTTTCATGGGGATTTACATGGGAATTTTCTCCATGGGGAATTAAAGATCATGTAAATACTTTTTCCATTCTCTTTATTTTTAAGTTTATTTTGTGTTTTATTTGTTTGGGATAGTGAAGACTTACCCAGTAACAAGAATATTCTGTCCATAGAGTCTTTTCCCATCTACTTGGAAAATTTTCTAGGCTGACTTCAACAAATAAGAAATATAAAAGTTAGCATTCAGATTTTACCCTCCCCTTTCCCAACAGAAAACAAAAAGATGAAGAAAGAATAGGGCAAAAAAAAATTTTCTTTACAATTGTTTAAATGTATCAGGTAATTATGAATTAATTTTGATATTAATTAATTTTAATATTCATGATGAAATATTAAAATGTGAATTCATATACATTGGAGTTCAAGGAATTACTAAAATAAGAATTAGTAAAACATACTCTCATTATTCCTTAAGACATCATTAATAAATGTTATGTTCTGCATAAATCTAGGAAAATATGATAACTTGGATAATTTGCTGTAAACCTTATCTATCTTTTCAGACTGTAATTGGCATAAAAATAAATTAAATAGGGTATCCATGGCTGTTACCAGAAAGGAACAACTTCTCTCTTTTAATATTGCATGAATATTGAAATCAAGCATCTCTATGTTCCTGTTCTGTGGCTATTGTCAGTAGGTAAAACAGAGCAAAAATGATTCCTCAGCTCTCTAGTCTTATATACTGTTTATATGTATATATTCTTTCCCTGCCTTCATAAATTAAAAATGTAACATAATAATTGTAAATTAAAATATTTTAATGTAAGCTTATTATGACAATCCACCATCTAAAAACATTAATTGGGGGTTGGTTATTTACAATAAAAAAAAAATCAGGTTTTCTTAACATTTAAAATACAATTAGAATTACACACACACACACACACACACACATCTTTTTTAAGACTGTTGAATAAAACATAGTAAAGCTCAAAAGGGAGATGAAGCACATCACCTTATCATTCGTAGACATTTTACTCTCCAAAGAATAACCTGATTGATCACTGGCTAAAAGGGGCATTTAAGCCAACTCATACTCATATTCTCTCTCTCTTGCCTCTCTCTCCCTCCCTTTATGTCTCTCTGGCCATACAACTAATAATAAGCTGCCCTGAACAAAGCTTTTCTCTGTAAAACAATTGATTATACAACAAATCAAATATCACTTAGTTTTCCTAATGTTCACGTGAACAAATCAAAATTTTACATAACATATCAATTTGAATTTCATTATCCTTTAAATTAGAATTTAGAATCCATACTTGAAATACAATGGGTCAAAGACAAGTAGCATTCTAGTTCTCAAGTGGAGTAATTCCAATAATTCTATGAGATTAAACTAAAAAATACATCACAAATACCATTTGCTTCATTTCTCCTCTGTAACTGGAAATAATAATGAAGCTTGTAATTGGATTAAGATAATGAAGCAGAAGGAATCGGGGAAGGGGGTAATTCTGGTTCCTTTCACCCCTACTTCCATTCCTCTATAGAAATCTGTTTTTATAGGCAAAATAGGCTGTTTGGATTACTTTCACATTTCACATTATTTTAATAAATAATTATTTTAATCATAGATATTTTGAATAGCAAACTTAGTTCACCATGAATTATTATTTTTGTAAATGTGTTAGAAAGTTTTAAAATAGTTTTTGAGACATTATTATATTAAAATGTAGGTGACTCCATGGTTATACTGTAATAATTTAATCTTTAGAGCAAATAAGAAATTTATTTATTGACATTCTGTATAAGAATAATTTTAATAGTAATAAACATATCACCCTAGTTTGTTAAATTGAAAGTCATAACATTATATTGTAAATTGTGGTAATTGATACATATATACTGTTTTACTTGCAGATTATCCAAAGAAAACTAGAAGGACAAAGACAACATTGCAAAAAGGTGAATGTTCATTTGTATTCTCATTAGTAGCATTTACATAAGGCAATTGGCAATTCAATTCTTAGCTTTCTCTGCTATGAGATTTATCATAAATCCATGTGATCTTTGAAATGGTGTTTTGTTTCAGTGCATATAATGAAAACGTAGAAATAACATACATGATATTTGGTAAGGGAAGACTTCAAACACTGTGTTTACTCATTCTAATTCAGTGTGATATCTGGTATTAGATCAGTAACAATCCAGAGCCATGCACACGCTATTTTAACATCCCCAAAATAGTGATTTAGATGTTGCTGTTCTTACTTTATTTCTCAGATCTCTAATCCTTTCATAATCTCAGCATTGTGTGGCCTTAGCAAGTTTCGTCCAGTATTACCCTGAATATATATATGCCTTTGGGTTGTCAACAGCCTGTATGCAAAAATAAGTGGAGATATTTAACAATAAATAATTGCTTTTGTCAACATTATTTAGCATTTGCATATTTTTGATTTTGTGATTTAAATTATTTATAGTTTTTAACTAAAAAGAATTACTTTTTGGTGAATATATTATTATCAATACAAGAAAAATGTTACAAGAGATGAAGAAAGACATGCTCCTTTTAATAAAGGTCTAGAAGCTGACTTCACTCAATTACCATTCACAGCATTTACATTTAAATGAGAAAATACTGAACAAAAAGATCAAATTATTTAACTCAGGACATGAAAAAGCTACATAATTCAAAGTGAATTTTAGTTTTACTAACTTTGATTTAATTACATGGGAAAGAGCTGAAAAATTCTATAACTCACTGATAAGCTTAAGACAATCTACTGTCCAGAATTTCAATCAAAATTTATAAAATAAATTCAGCAGTTTGTACAAACGTAAGTAAATGTATTTATTTACAAGTTTTAAAATAACTTTCTATAAATATTGAATTAATTTTTACAAAAGTGTTCAATACTTCAATTAAATGAAATTCTTCTTCTCTGTAATATCAAAGAATACAGCATATTTATAAATAGGGGTTTTTTGTCCATCAAGTAAAAGATGATATCTTCAACATTTAAACATTAGTATATTTTTTTCAAAAATGTAGATTTAGGAAAAAATTATATGCAGGGGAAACTTACTAGAAAATGATGCTACTTAATTTATATTTCATGATTCAGAATTGAAACATCCTTATTTGATATTATATATGAAAGTTAGAAAGTAAAGCTATGGATACTATTCACATGTGTAAAAAATGTTCAGATGCTAAAACCAATCCATAATGAAGACCTTTAAGCATATTGATTTGAAGTCAACTTTGTGATATGCTTCCTAACATCACATCAGAACAGTTATAAAGACAATGGGGATTCTTTACAACCCTTTTGGGAGAAAGTTTTGTATAAGACAATTGCCAAGTATGCAGCCTCAAAAAGTTAGTAGTGAAAATCATGTGGTTTGTGGAAGTTGGCATATAGCTTAAAGCCTGCCTTCTGGGTTTTAACTGAGCATCAATTTAGAGCAAGGATTGTGTATGCAGATTCAGTACAAACATTAGAACTTTATTTATCTGAGGAATATTGGGAATGAATTTCTTAATTTGTGACCGTAGATCTTTTAAACTTTAGGCCTAAGCAGAATTATTTTACAAGTATGCAATTTCAACTGCTAAAATAAATGTATGTCCTAGAATGGGGCCTCATATAAATATGGTAACTTTCAGTTGTATAATTCCTTAATCATATTTTCAGAATAATTTGTTAATGTTTTCTCTTCTTTGTATGCAATATTTTTTACCTACTCCCTTTTGTTAAACATAGAATTCTTATATTATTTGTTAATATGATTTAAAATTTCATAAATACATACTAAGGCCTAAACAAATCAAATTAGTGATCAAATGTATTTTTCTTTCTCTTGTAATACAGTATATTATAAAACTTTTTAAAACAGCTTTATTGAGATATAATTCACATGCTAAACAATTCAGCCACTTAAAGTGCACAATTTAATAATTTTAGTATATTTAGTGTTGTACAACCATCAGCATAATCGATTTTAGGACATTTTTATCACCCCCGCCCAAAAAAAAACCTCTGTAATCACTAACAGACACTGCCCCATTTCTTCCAGCTCCCCCAGCCCTGGGCAACCATTAATCCACTTTCTGCATCTATAGATTGGCCTATTCTGGATGTTTCATAAAAATGAAATCATATAATATATGGATATATGGATATATATGGATAATATATGGATTTCTGTGTCTGACTCATTTCCCTCAGCATAATGTTGTCAAGGTTCATCCATGTCATAGCAGATCTCAGTACTTCATTCCTTTATATGACAGGATAATATTCCATTATATGGATATAATATTCCATTATATGGATAGACCACATTTTGTTTATCCATTTATCAGATGATAGACATTTGGGTTGTTTCCACCTTTTGGCATTTGGGAATAATGTTGCTAGGTACATTAGGGTTCAAGTTTTTGTGTGCACATGTGATTTCATTTCTCTTGGCCTAGACACCTAGGCCTCAGTGTGGTTCTAATTTTGAGTGAAGTTGAACATCTTCATGAATTACCTGTTTAAATCCATTGCTTATTTTTACTGTTGGGTTGTTTGAATGTTTCTTGTTTGTGATATTGTGATTTATAATGAAGATATTGTTGGTCTTCCTCCTGTTGTCCCTGGCACAGAGCTCCAAAAACCCTTGGAATTTCCTGACTTGAGCCTTAAAGGTATCTTTTGTTATGTTAATGATGTGACTTCCCGGACAGCTCCTAAGTTGGGGGCGGGGGCTGCTGGTTGCCAGGGGAAACAACCCCTTGATTAGAGGGTTGGAACTTTCAATCCCAGCCCCCTCTACCACGTCCGGAGAGGAGAGAGGGGCTGGAGGTTGAGTTCAACCACCAGTGGCCAATGATTTAATTATTCATGCCTGTGTAATGAAGCCTCCATAAAAACACAAAAGGACGGAGTTCAGGGAATTTCCGGGTTGTTGAACTTGGGGAGATTCGGGAAGAGTGGATGCCTGGAGAGGGAAGCTCCGCCCCTTCCGCATACCTTGCCCTGTGCATCTCCTCCACCTTGCTGTTCCTGAATTATATCCTTTTGTAATAAACTGGTGATCTAGTAAGAAAAATTTTCTGGAGTTCCGTGAGCCAAATTAATCAAAACCAAAGAGGGGTGTGTGGAACCTCAGATTTACAGCCTTGTTGGTCAGAAGCCTGGGGGGCGGGAGGGGGGCAGGGTGCACCTGAAATTTTTTTTTTTTTAACATCTTTATTGGAGTATAATTGCTTTACAATGTTCTGTTAGTTTCTGCTGTATCACAAAGTGAATCAGCTGTAGGTATACATATATCCCCATATCCCCTCCCTCTTGCATCTCCCTCCCACCCTCCCTATCCCACTTCTCTAGGTGGTCACAAAGCACTGAGCTGATCTCCCTGTGCTATGAGGCTGCTTCCCACTAGCTATCTATTTTACATTTGGTAGTGTATATAAGTCCATGCCACTCTCTCACTTTGTCCCAACTTACCCTTCCCCCTCCCCGTGTCCTCAAGTCCATTCTCTATGATTGTGTCTTTATTCCTGTCCTGCCCCTAGGTTCTTCAGAACCATTTTTAAAAAATAGATTCCATATATATGTGTTAGCATACAGTATTTGTTTTTTTCTTTCTGATTTACTTCACTCTGTATGACAGACTATAGGTCCATCCACCTCACTACAAATAACTCAATCTCTTTCCTTTTTATGGCTGAGTAATATTCCATCATATATATGTGCCACATCTTCTTTATCCATTCACCTGTTGATGGACACTTAGGTTGCTTCCATGTCCTGCCTATTGTAAACAGTGCTGCAGTGAACATTGTGGTACATGACTCTTTTTGAATTATGGTTTCTCAGGGTATATGTCCAGTAGTGGGATTGCTGGGTCATATGGTAATTCTATTTTTAGTTTTTTAAGGAACCTCTGTACTGTTCTCCATAGTGGCGGTATCAATTTACATTCCCACCAACAGTGCAAGAGGGTTCCCTTCTCTCCACACCCTCTCCAGCATTTATTGTTTCTAGATTTTTTGATGATGGCCATTCTGACCAGTGTGAGGTGATACCTCATTGTAGTTTTGATTTGCATTTCTCTAATTATTAGTGATGTTGAGCTTCCTTTCATGTGTTTGTTGGCAATCTGTATGTCTTCTTTGGAGAAATGTCTATTTAGGTCTTCTGCCCATTTTTGGATTGGGTTGTTTTTTTTGATATTGAGCTGCATGAGCTGCTTGTATATTTTGGAGATTAATCCTTTGTCAGTTGCTTCATTTTCAAATATTTTCTCCCATTCTGAGGGTTGTCTTTTCGTCTCATTTATGGTTTCCTTTGCTGTGCAAAAGCTTTTAAGTTTCATTAGGTCCCATTTGTTTATTTCTGTTTTTATTTCCACTTCTCTAGGAGGTGGGTCAAAAAGGATCTTGCTGTGATTTATGTCATAGAGTGTTTTGCTTATGTTTTCCTCTAAGAGTTTTATAGTGTCTGGCCTTACATTTAGGTCTTTAATCCATTTGAAGTTTACTTTTGTGTGTGGTGTTAGGGAGTGTTCTATTTTCATTCTTTTACATGTAGCTGTCCAGTTTTCCCTGCACCACTTATTGAAGAGGCTGTCTTTTCTCCATTGTATATTCTTGCCTCCTTTATCAAAGATAAGGTGTATTATAAAAATGTAAAGAAGTAGGATTTTTCCTTGTCCCATATATTAAACTTAACCACAAATTATTACCATGGGAATAATAGTTACATTCACCTTAAGAAATAAGAGGCAGTAAACAATGAACAAAATAACTTTCAAATTGGTACTTTAAGAAGTTGTAGAAAATAGATATTTTACTCTATATTAAAATAGGATGTTTTAATTAATAAAACAATTTTTTCATAGAGGATTCGTTTTTCTACTGTTGCAGAAATCATTAACATTATTAAATACACACTGTTTTTTAGAATAAAACACTCATGAATATTGCTTCCCTGAGATAAATGCAAGATGCTTTAAGATGTGAAAAGATGCTACTGTTCATTTTTGCCACTATGGTAATATATAGTTGCAGGGGAAAAAAAATGGGGAAATTGGAGGTTTGCCCTAAAAAATTCAAGCCCAATATATCTTGCAACCATCATAATTTTGAAAATAATTTATTGCTTTTATTTACAGAGTATGCATGTAAACAAGGCTTGTAATGTAGATCACAGTGGTACAACTTTTGTGACAGCTATGTTTAGCCTGGTTTGGAGCACTATCAAAGAATGGGTATTAGACTTTTTCAAAAGCTTCTCCAATCCCTGAACATGTATTTCCTGTCTGCCTCTGCACTATTGGAGTCATTCCAATGCCTGGAAGAAAAATAAGAGACACAGTGGAGGAGGATGTCATACCTAATACAGATATTACTTTCAGCATAAGAATTCAGGAACTTCTAAGTATAGCCATGAAAGCTTCCATACCCCTCAAAGCTTCTCCCTTTTTAAAAAATTGAAACCATTCTAATGAAGCAACAAAGTTTACTTAAATGAGACTGCATACCTGAAAAATAAGAAATATTTGTAGATCCTTCCTAAATGTTGATGCACATAAGCTTAATAAAAATAATTAAACCAAATTTTTGCCATAATATTTTGGACTTCCAAACCAAGGGTAAAAAAACCCCAATATCTTTTATTCTCTCAGTTCATGAAAGAGCTGATAGTTAACGCCCTACTAATTTACTATGAGAAATTTAGAATTTGAAATTCCAATAGACACAATGTATGACAACAGTTGTAACTCCCTTATTCTAAATGTCACAGTAGATATAGTATAGTTGTGGATAAAGTTATATTTTACCTTTTATCTTTATCTTTTCATATTTACTCCTTAAATAGTTTCAACTTAACCATTTATATTTTTAATTAACATAATTCAATTATTAACAAAAAGGAATATTGCTTTCTGCCATTTTTATAATTTCTAGAAAAGCCAGATTTCTGCTTTTTGGAAGAAGATGCTGGAATCTGTCGAGGTTATATTACTAGGTATTTTTATAACAATCAATCAAAGCAGTGTGAACGCTTCAAGTATGGTGGGTGCCTTGGCAATCTCAACAACTTTGAATCACTGGAAGAATGCAAGGACACCTGTGAGGATACATGTACGTTCATTTCTCATCTCCCTTTACTTCATTTTATAGGCATTCTTTTTAAAATAAGGCATCCTAGAGGATGTTCAGGCTTACCCAGATTTTGTTGCAGCCATGCAAATGAAGATCCACTGTAGTCACTCTTAATCTGATAGAAATTAGTCACCATGTTAGTTTATTTAAGAAACAGAGAATTAAGAAATTTATAGTGGAAATTATTTCCATAGAAATTGTTTTTAGGTTACATTATTTAATTTTCCTTTCTGAGAATACTGTAGTACAATTTAGGCACAAGAGTAGGACTGCTGAAATCCCTTAGGCTTATAAAAATTTGAGAGCATGTGGTTCTTTAGAAACTACCACCTAAAATCAGTTTTATCTGACCCTAAAATTAATTAAAGGAGTGACTTAAACATTAATTGTTACCTTTTTTGTTTTGACAAAGAACCACAAAGTTACTCGTGGAAATATTATAGTATAAGATACATATATAAAGATATATATATATATCTTATATATATGAGATATAAAATATATAAAGATTCACTGTTCACTAATTTAACATACCAATGTGAATAAAATTTCTAGACATCTACTTTTCTTAACACAACTTCTGTGCTTTGCTTTATGTGTACAATTATGAGCTTGTGAAAATGTCTTCTATTTTAATTGGCTGTATTTTTTTCCAGTGAATGATTTCCAGGTGGATGATTATAGAACCCAGCTTGATGCTGTGAATAATGACTCCTTGACTCCCCAGCCTACCAAGGTACCCAGCTTCTTCGGTAAGACTCTCTTTTATTTTAATTGCTGCCAGAAAAATATTATCATGGTAACAATAGAAATAGAATGTATATGAGAACTATGCTTTTTAGAAAATTATACTTTTGTTATTTAATAATAGGTGTGTTGAAATACTGAGATTCAAAATTGCTTAAGACCTTTTTTCCCAGAAAAGTGATAATTTTCCTAATCTATTTTAAAGTATGCTTTGTAGTAGGCTTTTGATTACATATCCCATGAAAACTTTTACATGATATTTAACTCTGCACCAAATTTATCTTATAAAATAATGCTAGGAATTATCAACTTCAATGTCTAATTGTAAATCATTGTAATGGCAGCAGTGTGTCAAAAGCATCCTAAAGTTTAGAACACTAAAGTGTTCTTAAATTGAGCATAGCATTGGAGAAGGTCTCTGGTGTTAGTCACAGGACAGATTAGGAATTCAGTGACTAACCATCCGTGAGGCTATGTCACTGAGAGAATTTTCTTTTGGATGTATGCAGATCACTTTTCTGGACTCTGTCCTGTCAACATATTTGTCAAATTTATACAAACATAGAGGAAATATGCTCACAAAAATGCAGAGCTGAGGGCTTCCCTGGTGGCGCAGTGGTTGAGAGTCCGCCTGCCGATGCAGGGGACACGGGTTTGTGCCCCGGTTCGGGAAGATCCCACATGCCGCGGAGCAGCTGGGCCCATGAGCCATGGCTGCTGAGCCTGCGCCTTCCGGAGCCTGTGCTCCGCAACGGGAGAGGCTCGCGTACAGCAAAAAAAAAAAAAAAATGCAGAGCTGGGAAAATAATGAAAATACTGGAAAACATAACCAGACACCACAAATATCTAGACAGAAACAACCTAAAAAGTTGAAAGTTAATGGGATGAATGTAAGGTTCTTTCTAAATTTAAAAAATCACAAGTGCTTATTCAGAAATTGGAGATTTTGCTTAGAAGCAGTTCATGTAAGTGTTAAACGTAAAGTTGGCATGTGTTGAGAGTTCTGTGGCTATTAAAATTGCAGCCTTAGGGTAGAAAGAGACATAGTGTCTGGGGCACAGGTTCTCTACCCCAGCCATGGATGGGGTTCAGAACCAGAATGTCTTTGAGCATCTTTCTTTACAAAAAACAAACAAGCAAGCAAAACTTCTGCCCAGATGGATTTAAGGGACTGCAAATGTTGTCTGTGATTTATCTAGAATGAGGAATATAGTCCTACACTGACCTGATGATGTCTGTGGACTTCCTTCGGCCCTGAATGCCATACCTTAGAAGTCACTGGACTGAGACTTAGAAGGACTGGAGAGTGTAAGGAGATGTGAGATCTAAGAGAGAACATTATATATACTCTCAGTACTTGAAACACTGTCATGTGAAAGGAAAATTAAATTCTGTACATGCCTCACTCAATCTTCTCCATTTCAGTCTTCCCTGTCCATATCCCGCCGGTTCCTTATCTCCCTCAACCCAGCCTAAGAATCAGAATTAATGAATGAAATCTAAAGTACAAATTTCTTTCTGTAAAGTGTTTATTTTTAATGTGAGGTCTTCAAAAATGAATGAATGCTTCAGTGACTAAATTCCTCAAATTGTAGGCATTCAAATAGTGTTCCAATAGTACTTGCAGTGTCATAAAGCGTATGCAAAATTTCAGAGGGAGTTAGTATAGTCAAAATGCCTTCAGGTCTTTAGATTTTACAATTAGAGCAGTGAAGTATTACATCTGTCACTGCTTGCAATTATATAAATACATTTTATAATAATTTACAGTTCTATAATAATACAGTTCTATGTTTATGTAAAAACGTGTTCAATGTTTTAGCAAATGTGTAAGGTTCTCCATGGATATTAGGTTCTTTTGAAAAGATGTAAATCCTTTAAGGTTTTGATTCAGTGTACAGGAATAAGAATATGCCCCACAATACAAATAGAATAGCATTCATTTAAAATTCTTTTCATTAAAAACAATCCTTAGGTATCTGAATATTCCAAAAATATAGCTAGATTGTGTTATTGTTCTTAAGTGAAATATTTATAAATATAATTTTAATGTTTCTCTTTCTGATGATAATAGAAAAACATTTTAGAAGTTTTGTTCAATGTTACTGGAAAATGGTTTGGGAATTTTTTTTAATTGTTATTTATTCTCAACCATAATATTGCAAATTAGCATGAGAATATATTTTTTCCAGTGAACCCTCTTGACTCAAGATATTTGAATGCTTAATAAGCACAACTGAGGTTTAATTTTCTCCTTTCATTTCCATATTTCAATATTAATAGGCTACATAGGTGACCTCAAATATTGAAACTTGCTCTTCCTTAAAGAGGTTTCGTTTTGTTTTGTTTTTGCGGTACGCGGGCCTCTCACTGTTGTGGCCTCTCCCATTGCGGAGCACAGGCTCCGGACGCGCAGGCCCAGCGGCCATGGCTCACGGGCCCAGCCGCTCCGCGGCACTGGGGATCTTCCCGGGCCGGGGCACGAACTCGTGTCCCCTGCATCGGCAGGCGGACTCTCAACCACTGCGCCACCAGGGAAGCCCTAAAGAGATTTTTATAAATGTTTTGTAAGCATGGCCTTATGCAGAAGTGAGAGCAAATTATTTGATTTTGATTTTTTGTCCTGAATTGTGAGGATCTCCTTGTAGTTACAATAAATATGTGCTCAGTACATGTGGGAGAGAAATAATTCTAACACAGTATCTCTAAATGTATGCAGTTTTGTGTAAGATCTTCAGAATGAAAGACTGTCACAACTGGTTCTTCTTGACTTTCCTGCTGGGATTGGCACTAAAATATAGTGGATAAGAGAAATGACTCTGAGCCTGAAGACTTGGTCTCAGATCCCATTTCTTTCACTTACCAGCTGTGCAACCTTAAGATAATTCTTAACCTCTCAGAACCTTATTTTTTCCCACTGAAAAATGAGGATGGTAATAATATAGTACTTACCTCATAGGTTTTATTGTGAGGTGAAATCAGTCAATATACATAACTTGCTTAGGACAGTACCTGATAACCTATTCAGTGCTACATAAGTATGATTTATCATTATTACCCACGTAATTCAGAGCAATACAAGCCTTAGTTCCCAGACCTTAGTTTCTCATCTGTAAAACAACTCTTTGTAAGTTCCCATTTGCAGGAAAAGGTGGTATTTCAGCCACTTATAAAATCTCTATTTATTCAAATAAGTGCTTCAGTACACATACAGTAAAAAAATTACAATTAACCTTTAAAAGAGAATTCACAGTAGAACTAAATACATATGTGGGAACTTAAACAGTTCAAATGTGTTTCCTAGAAACAAACTGAGAATATTGGCAGGCAGAGGTATCATGGGGCTTTGAAACCAAATGAATTTTATTTGTAAAATTTTTCTTTATAGTTTTCAGTATTTCCAGCTTTCCAAATTTTCAGAATTCTGCCACCATTTTTCCATTTATTTCAGCTTGAGCATTTGGTAATCTCTTTTGATCACTTCTGTTCTAGTCAGTCATTAAATTCTATTGCTTTTTCTGATGAAATGTCCATTCTCATCTTCTCCATTTTCAGTCTAACCTGTTTCATGTTTAGATTACACAAGCATATGTCAACCAAACTGGGATGCTAATAGAAATGAAAGGAGAATGCTAAAAAAATTTTTATTTATTTAAAATATATACATATAGACAGAAAATTGGGTTTGTCATTTTGGTGGATAAATAATAGTTTTATTTTAAAACATTTCAATTTTTAAAATACACAATATGTTGGAACATGATATACCAAAAAAATAAGCATGAACTAATACTAGCTCTGGCAAACCAGATTTTATAGACATTAGATAGGTAGATAAGGAGGATAAATAAATAGATATCACAGAGTTCAGCTATAACTCAGATATACTACATATATTATTAATATAGTCATATACCAGGCATAAGTCAAGTAAAACATTTTATGTATATGTGTGTATATGTATAGACATAAAAGACAGAGATGGAGAATCAGAGCTATATATAACATGTATAAGATATGACCTTTTTGGACATGACTGGCCTACTTAGATACATTCATTATATTAGAGTCAAGCAAATTTACATATTTCTCTTGCTTTATAGAAAAGATTTTTAACTTAATGGATACATTTTTTTCCCCATGTTAATTTAGCCTCATCCACTTGGCTTAAATTTGTTATCTGTTAGCTGTCTACCTATTCCAGATTTTGTCTCACTATCCTGTAAATAAAAAAGTTTTTTGTCCATTCAGAATAGATATTGTCATTAAACACAAATTATCGACTCTCTTCATTATTATTAAACACAAGTTATCCACTGCTTTCTCCCACCTAAAACTCACTGGCCTTCCTCATCATATCTAAGCTGCTTTTTTACCACCATAAGGAAGACTTCTTCCTCTCTCTTTCCCCTGGCTTTTTATTTTGATTCATTTAATATTTAATATTGCTTGATGTGTCAGCTCTGCCTCACTGACTAGATAACAAGTTTTTTGAAGGGAGAGACTATGGATTATATATTTTGTAGACTTCCCTCCCCTAGTGTTTATCCCACTGTTAGGCACAGGATAGAAGACTAATTTTATTTTATTTATTAATTTTGTAATCCACAGTTACAACAGAAAGAACAAATGACGGTTGGAAGAATGCTGATCACACTTACCAAGTCTTTCTGAACATCTGCATTCATGCATCCATATTCATTTTAAGATTACATAGCATTTTATGCTTATGTTAATCATTGTTTTTTGGTATTTCTTTAATATTTATATGGTATATGTGATGCCTTTCATAGGATACTATTAATAAATTTTAATATTTATATGCATAGAGTTAATATATTCCTCTCAGTATAGCTCTTTGATAAACATCTAACTAGCAAAGAAAAACTAATGTTTTCAAGTGTTCATATTGGTACTGGGCCTTTTGAGTGGACTTGACTCATTCATGAAAAAAGTGGATTATCCTTCTGCTGCTCATAGCTTCCTTTGCTTCTGTATATCAACT